CGGGGAGATGGGCAGGGATAAGTCTATGTACTGTATAAATAAATATTTTAAAAATAAATAAATAATAGCTCTCAGCAAGTGTCTAGATTTTTTTTTAATTGGATTTAACTTTTTAAAAAAATCTTGTGAAATAGTTGGATTTTTTTTTTTTTGGCAGTAATGCATACATCACCAAGATTAAAACAAAAAAATGCTGGCCGTATTTCTGACCACGCTGACTTTATTACAAGTTAATAAAGTCAACTTGTCAGTCAATCCATAAACCCAAAACAGTGTTTGGGAAGTAACTCATTTTTCTCTCCAGCTTTCCAGCAATTATTTACATTAAAAAAACTCCAACTTACATCTTGTAAACTCATAGACTTAAAGTACAGTGGACTGAGGGGAACGATTATGCTAAATCAGAACTTCTGTTATCTGTATACAGTGTATACTTATTTAATAACAATGATATTTGACCTGTATGAAAAATAGTGATTTGTTTTCCATACAGTATTCTCCATCCAGCTTATATTTGGGAAGTGTGTATATGCTATGTTGCAATTTGTAAATTGCTGCAGTGAGCAACAACAGCCACAACAACTTCTACTACAACCACCACATGAGCAGAGTTCTCCATGCTGCCATCCATATTTCTGTTTTGTGTACCAGAATAGGACAATCTCTAATTCCATTATTCCTACTGACAGGTTTTGCACTGCTCTTACTGCTGCAAACTGTGCAAAGGGTTGTTTAATTTTTCAGACAGAAGAATTGATACATGCCAACAATTTGCCACATGTTGCCTTCCTGTGCTGTATTTCTTTTAAGTGTGCTGCCCTTAATAGTTTGATCAAGTGAATTAAATTAAGAAAGGAGCAGCTCAGTTAAGTCTTTCCAGGTTTAAATTATTGGATAAAAAGAATCCAAACTCATCCATATTATCTTTAAATTTCCGCTTAACTTAAGAGTTGTATGCATTGTAATGTGTGCACAATATAACTGAAATCTTTTCATCATGATATATTAGCATGGTGCAAGAGCAAGTTAATACATAACTGCATTTTATTTAATTTTCCTTATTGCAACTGCAGGTATACCTTTAAAATGATAAGTGCTGAAACTGTTGCAGTAAAATATCAGGAAAATTCTACAATTACTTTTAATTATATCACAAATATTTGAGAAAAAATAAAATTCTGTTTTAATTTTGGGTTTTATTTTATTTAGAATTTGAACACAGAATATTCAAACTTGATTATGAAAAGACATAATTGAGAAGAAAAGAGAATACAGGGCCTTTTTATTCACCTAATGTAAAATAATATCTTGGAGCATACATTAGTATATATTTACCTTGCAAATACTATTTATATATTTATTTAGAAAATTTATACAACTCCCTATCTTAAATACATAACTGTCAGTGGCAAACAATACCTAGAAAACAAAAATTTTAAAAAGAAAATTAAAACAATCCAATACAAGAAATGATAACTGAAGCAGTACCTAACAATTCCAGTGAAACAACACACGTATATTGGGCTCCCCTATACCTGGCCATCCACCTTGCTGCTGGTCATCCTCTTCTTTTTCCTTCCACCTTTCCCAGCATTAGAGCCTTCTCCAGAGAGCTAGGTCTTCGCCTAATGTGTCCGGAGTAGGATAATTTGAGCCTGGTCATTTGCGCCTCGAGTGAGAACTCTGGGTTGATTAGTTTGATGATCCATCAGTTTGTTTTCATGGCTATCCATGATATTCTCAGGAGTCTTCTCCAACACCAGAGTTCAAAAGCATCAATGCTCTTCCTATCCTGCTTCTTTAAAGTCCATCTTTTGCTTCCATAGAGTGTCACAGGGAATGCCATGGCTTGCATGATTCTGATCTTTGTAGGTAAAGTAAATTGTGATATTTTTCATTTATGTGTTCTGGGATTATACCTAATAAAAATATATGTTCAGTTCAAATTTTATTTTTGGATTTTCTGAATATTTTGGTGTATTTTTTTCCTGTACTTTTGAGTTTTGTTTTTTAACATAACCACCACATATTATAAAATGTTCCTTCTTTATTATGGCATTTCAATATTTTTTATTATATGATTTGTCTGTCTTGGTAACTATTGACACAGGGTTACATATAATACATTTTTTGTACAATTGACACAGGGTTACATATAATACATTTTTTGACAGCCAATTTGATGTAGTAGTTAAAGGCACCAAGCTAGAAACTAGGAGACTGTGAGTTCTAGTCCTGTCTTACACCCAAAGCCAGCTGGGCACCCTTGGGCCAGTCACTGTCTCTCAGTCCTAGGAAAAAGGAAATGGCAAGCCACTTCTGAAAAACTTGCCAAGATAACTGCAGGATTTGTCCAAGACAGATTCAAAGGCACAAAAATTAAAATAAAAAGCGCCCTGTAGTTATTTCTTTAAGGTTTTGCATCCACTTCAGCATACAATTTTTACAGTATTTGTTATGTAAAAAATCTCTGGATCATATTTTAATAACAATTTATATATACGTTCTAATAGGCGATCTTGGCTTTGTATGGACATTTCAAATTCTGTCATCTTTCTCAAAGTCCCTCTTTCTTTCTTGAGATCATTTTTTATTCTTCCAGCAATTTGTAAATACATCAGCCATGGTAAATTCCTATCTTCTTAAACAGTTCTTTAGTCTGTTTTCTAAGTCTGGATATACCATACTGGCATATGTGATTAAATCTTGAATACAGAGCAGTTTGTATTCAAAAGACCAACCAGAGTGCAAACTTTAGCTTATGATCTATTCACTACCTAGGGGGGAAAAAGAACCAGCATTAACAGCACTGAACTCCCTGCCTATTATTTTTGACCAACAAACTCTTAATAAATAAATTCAGATTTTTGCTTACATGCTAAGAATTCTGTGCCTGAATATAATACCTAAGCATCACTACTTTGAAAAAAGTCAGATACTCCGAAACATAATTTATAAGTATTTCATGAATAGCTTACATTCAGATTTTTGATAGTCAGACTTGTTGGTTCTATGTGCTTTGGTTGCTAAAATGCTGATGGAAGCCATTATGAGTGGCATAATTACTCATAATGAATTACTTTTCAACTGGAACATTCTGTAATTGTGTCAGTGCTTCAGAGGTATGACATATCAATCTGTAAGTAGCAATTGCTTTTACTCCCCTTCCAACTTGGGTCTAGTTTATGTATCCAGTGGAGATTTGCTTTAATTTCTGTCAGTTTCAATTCCTTTGAGATTTGTCCTTTAACTATACATTTCCAGAGGATTGCTCATCTTGGGTTATACTGTAGCTCTCTTTACTGCAGTAATAATCAGCTATTGACTACTCAAATAATGGTTTAAATGAAAAAATAAAGTAAGTTGACATAAGTGCGTAAATTACCAACCTGCTTCACTTCGTACTATCTTCATATTGACTTGATATTGACTAAGATGCTTCCCATTACTTGCAACACAGTGAAGAAAAACTTGCACCATCCTGACTTCTGTGAAATTGGAAACCATTTCTCAAAATGCAGTCAGATTCAGTGACCTTCAGAGAGAGGTCAGCAAGGTTTTTCTAACCAAGGGGAATATGTAGAAAGAAATACCGATGCTTTATTTCCCATGATCAGAGAAAATGAGAAAGAATTAAGTAATAAAACCCAAACAGAGATTACAATTCAAAGAAAATGCTAAAAATGCCATTCCAGAGTTTGTAGAGTTCTTACAGGAAACAAATGACTTAGCGCTGAAAATGCATATTAGGTAAGTAAAAACAACAACAACCAACCCAAGTTGAAAAATTGAATAACAAATCTGCATCCTTGCAACAGCCATTACTTAAATTTAAAATTGAGTTTACTTGAATTAAAAATCTGACATAATCATATTTTAGATAATACTTCTGTTTCTCATCACCTGTTGCTTATACTTCTAGCACCCATGAATATTTCAGCGCACCTGCAAATTTATAGCATTTCCCTGCAGGAAACACTAACAACTTTTCCAGGCAGCTATAGACCTATAGATTTCCTATAAGCATACCTGTGGTACCATATAATTAAGCAAGACTTTGCATTATATCTAAGTATATGTTTGCTTTCAGTATCTTTACTGTCATTAAATGACAATGTGAACCTATGTGAATATTAAAAATGTATGAATCTGAAATTGGATCTGCATTGTACCATTTTGATACAATAGTAGATACTACTGAACATTTAAAAGCTTAGGATTTTTTTTTCTTGGTAAATTACTCATACATACATAATAACAAATATTATTTTACTCATTCATTCATTCAAAATTATCCCAGAATACCTAATTATACCCAATGATTTTATGCATGCAATTTTACTTTTTCGCATAATCTCATTTCATTTTATTGTTCTATAATGTTGATATTAAAATTTGGCTTCGTGTTATTTTTATTTCCTCTTTAAAGGAAAAAGTGGGCTTACAAAGAAGGCATGTGTGCCTTTTGCTGAAACTTAACTGAATCTGTGTTGATTGTGTTGTATTTAATAAAAAAACATATATAATATACATATATATATTGTGGAAGACAGAAGTATGGCAACAGATTGTTCAAGTTTATATTATTAAATTAATTTGTATGAAGAAGTTAAATTGTCCTGATAGGTACCCATAGTTACCCATTACATTCATATATGTTGTTTTTGTTCTTTTGTTTCAACAGTTAGATCAGGCTGGATACCACCACCACCTGCTCTACCTCCAAGGCCCTTTGTATCACAGGTGTGTCAATAATTTCAGCATGATATTATGCTTAATATCTATCTTAAAAGGGAAAAGTAAAAAGTTTTTTTTCCTTGCCCAAGCATCCATTCGCCTCTATTGGCACCCATCAGAGCATGCAAGACAAAGACACCACTGTTAAGTATAATTTTAGGAAATGCCCAGTAGTTAACTTCAACAATAACATCTTATAGTTTAAAAATAATTGTATTCAGAGGCAAAAGTGGATAGAAAAAATGTTTCCAAATAATTTGTTATCAATTCAGTAATTATTTTTCCAAATAACCAGAAATAGGAGTGGTGAAATCACTGTAAAAGAGAAGCATTTGGTTAAATAGAATAGAATCTATTCAGTTAGACTATTTCCAATAGCAAAACAGTTCTGAGAGGGGCTTTCAATGGGCAACTTATGAGCCCTTCAGTTCTTCAGAAATCATTAAGCCTAACTCTGATCTGAATTTTTTGGCTCTTACCTATTTTCTACCTACAATCTACCTATTTCTCTCAGGGTATATTACTCATTTGCACTTAGGCTACAATAACTAAGATTTGCAAATAGTGACTGAGCTTGTTCTCATAGGTTGAAGTAATAGTAGTAGTAGTCTGAAAGTCCCTGCAGTTTTGGGGAAGCAGTTAGCCATTGCTTTCTTTGGAGGGCTGAGAGAGAGTGACTGGCCCAAGGTCATCCAGCTGGCTTCATGCCTAAGGCAGGACTAGAACTCACGGTCTCCTGGTTTGTAGCCTGGTGCCTTCACCACTACACCAAACTACAGGTGAAACTCGAAAAATTAGAATATCGTGCAAATGTTCATTTATATCAGTATGGCAACTCAAAAGGTGAAACCAATATATGCGATAGATGCATTACATGCAAAGCG